TGTTCGCACGATCAGCCAATACAAATTAGACTAAGATGGGAATAAAGAACAGTTAGTTTGAGACCACAGAAGAGAACAGCACGACCATTAAGCCAACTGCAATATTTCTCCCAATATTATCCCTACCTTTTAAAGGAGTCATTGCCATAATCATAGTCCCAGTACTCAGTATCTTAATTGCGCAACCATGCCCACTCTCTAATTTGAATGTACTCATTAGAAATATTTTCCCTTAAACAAAAAAAAAAAAATTCAATAAAACAAGAAAGCCACCCCGTTGCTGGCCGTGGTATATCCCATCAACACTTGCCCTGGCCCAAATAATACTCCTGTTAATATCTGTGAAATTGATCTGATTGTAATTTTAGCCTGATGCTAGCCCTAACCCTTCGACGTCTGAGCAATGAACCCCAACCCCTTTCTTGTTCCTGTGGAATCCCTTACAGTTCACTGAGCACCGAGAAAAACAATGATTCTACCCTCTGGCCCTCAGCTGTCTGAGTCTGGTTGGTTAATCCTTTTGGTAATTTATGCGCCCTCATCCCAAAAAGAGAGAAGCTGCCACTTACCGAACTAATCATCAGGCTGATTCTGATTCCGATTCCAAATCCAACTCCTGCCCTTGCTTTTGCTCCTGGTCACGTCACGTGTCCTGCTCATTGCCAACATTGTTCCTGTTGTCGTCGTGGTTGTATTGTTTATTGTGACAATTCTTGTCAGCGGTCCAAGCAAATGTCAACGGCACATTGATGGATGTTCCTCTCCTCCGGCAGAAATGGCACAGCCGAAGGCAGTTCGAGCCACCGCCAGGTGATGGTGATTCATGGCAATTGTATGCGGTAGATGAGATGGTCAAATGCCCGTTGTTTGTCTCTGGTTTTTTATTTATTTATTTTTTTTTCTTTTTTGTGGTTTTTTTTGCGGTTTGAGAGTGCCTGCAAAATGGACGGAAAGTGGCCGGGGAGCTTGGCTGAATAAGAGATGCAGTGCTCGAAGCTGTTAACGGATAATTTTTAATGAGCTTCAGCATTAACATTGTGTCCAAGTAGACGGAATGGAATTTCCATTCAAGAGTCAGCAAGAGTTGCTGAAGAAAACCGTTTAAGTCGTAAGTAAGAGGTAAAGAGGTTGTAAGGGGTAAATTATATAAAATTCAGATTTGCCATAAAACAAAGTCAAAGAATTTCCAATATATTTATTTATAGTTTATGGCAATTTTCCTTTTCAGACAATTTCTAGAATAGCGTAAATAAAAATGTTGCTGTAAATATATAAGCCTTATACATAATATGATGATGATTACATCCCAGATAAATGCCTTAACAAAAAGATCCATTTCTTAAAGGCGGTCACACTATCACGTGTAATAAACAGTAACACTAACTTATCCATACAAACTTATGTACAAGCACAATGTATTCCTTTCCCTTTCTTTTTCATAAGGATCACGCCTACGAACACTATGTGTGCCGTGTTCGAACAATCAGCAAATGTCACCAATACATGTAGAAATTAGGCAAGGATAGAATAGGATAAAGGAAGAAAAAACAGTTAGTTTTGGAATACAGAATAAGATAAAGGAAAAAAAACACTCTTCCACAGAAGAGAACAGCACAGGTTAAGTTCAGAAGGCACTAAACCGATTTCGGTAAATCAAAAAAAAAAAATAAAAAATACGACGCCAACGTTTATAACCTTAAAATTTAAACATATTTATTAATACTACTTTAAAGTAATAGAAGATTGTATTGATCAAAATTTTTAACATTATTTTCATTTAAGACAAAGATAAAATTTTAATTTTTAAAGATGCCATAAAAAGTCTACTATAAAATGTCATGTTAAACGCAAACAGAAAGAACACATCTCTTAATAAACTTGATGTTTTGATTTATAAAACCAACAAAAGCCATCTCAATGATAGCCATCAAACGATAATTTACCCAATTTGGTAGTGAAGCTTTCCCGCAATTGGCATTATTAACTACAATTTGACAGGCCATTCATGATCGTCAAGATCAAACAATAGCATTATGATTAATGGCCTTTCTAAGATTTCTGCCTGATCAATCCTTAATTGCTCATGAACTTTCCTCTACGTTTTTCTTTAAACAGAACATATTGCATTCAGAAAACAGCTGGCAACAAGTGTGCCTTCAGCTCGCTGGGAAATCCCTTTGAAGTGTAACAAGTAGCGAGTGAAAAGTCAAAGAGGGTTAAGTTCACATGCACACAGGGACCAAATGAAAATAAAAGAAAAGCCGCCCGCCAAAACGACCCATATTCTATGTCCCTGTCCCCCCAACAGACCCCCCATGCCCAAACAACTTAACCCCTTGAACTAACTAAGGAAGCAGACGTGAATCAATTGCCTCGGCCTTTGTTTTTCGCCGCCTCAAGTATATAAATTAGCATATTTCAAAGGCAAACAACAGCAACAACAAAAGAACGAAATTGCAATAATTGGAGTCCTTGACAGGACAACAATGAGAGGGGGGGGGGTGGCGACACTGCACCAGTTTCACTTTTGTTGTTAACCCTTTGATGTTCAGCAGAAGTGGCACTCGGTCGTGTGTCCTTGCCACAGCAACAAAAACCCAAGGATGCTGCTTAATCAGTCTTTAAAGGCCAGACAGCCAGTCAGGTGTCAAGTAGCCAGCAGCCAGGGGTTAAGACTTAAATTGATTAAGTGTGATAGAAAGTTAGCTGAACTAGGGGAATTTCCATTACTTGCATCTTAATTTAAAGGGTATTTTCATATTCTATTATAATATTATTATAAATAATACCTCTTACAATGTGTTAATTGGACCGCAAATCGAGGCTAACAAAGACATTCTCTCGCATGGGATAAATGCAACCAGAATGAGCAGCCCTGCCTCAATATGTCCTGTATGGCTGTTGGTGTTTTTGCATCCTTTGATGTATTTGTACTTTCGCCAGCCAGTCGCTGAGTCGCCGGAATCACCGGAATTCACCCTCCGTACGGAAAGGCACGCGCACATTCCACATCCACCTCCCAACGAAAGTCCCGCACTCTAGGGGGGGGATCCGTAATTCCCAGGATAACACGCACAGGACAACGAGGACGAGGACGAGCACAACGAAAACAACCGACGATGCTGATGTTGATGGCGATAACAACGAAGCCAGCCTCCGTTTCAAATATTTCAATTTTAATTTGCATTTAGAGGCCGGCGAGCTCGGCTCTCGTCTCATAGTGGCGCGAATCGCTTTGCTGGCAGGACGTTCGTGTCCTGTGTCTTCCGTGCGACAAATCATAGCCTACCAAATCAAAATTCAAATTAGTTCAAGTTCTTAACAAAGTGTTTACAAATTAATATTTATAACTCAATTCAAACTTGCAAAATAATTCGTTAGTGTGAGACCTAATTAATAATTTTTAATAAAGTAAAAGAAGCTTTGATTAAGAACTTTTGTATAACAAAGAGAGAACTGTCCGCAAAACATTTAAGTTACGAAAGCTTAATAAAATTTAAACTATAATATATAATCTTAATCAATTTTTTATTAAATATTCTATAAATCTCAAACTGAAATTTAATATGTGCAAAAGTTGATTAAAAATGAAATTAAATAAATTTTATCTTGATATAAAATGGTTGGTCCAAGCCCATAATGCCCATAAGCTTCTGATCAATTTAAACAATATATAATACGAATTCCATCACTTTCTATTTTTGTTGAACAAAAGCTGTTAAGTTATCCAACCAATAAACTTAATATTTTATTTAAACCTAAAAAAAGTCGTCGATTTCACTTGTTTTGGTTAAAAAAAAAAACTGGCTTACATTTTCCACACATTAAAACTAAATAACTAGCTAAAGAAAAGTTGATTGAAGAAAAACATTAAAAACAAATAAATTGTTTAACGAGACCAAAAATATTTTTAAAGGATTTTCGGCGTTTACAAACAAAACATTTTAATAAATTTGTATTTAGCTTTTTGGTATTAAAAAAGACAGTAATAAAATTTATTGTATGAACCAATTTTATTGACTTTTTTGGCATAAAAAAAGACTTAAATAACGGCTATTTTTATTATCAAAATATATATAACTTTTCTGCATAAAAAACAAAAGACTTTGATAAAATTATATAAAACTTTTTGTGCTTATAAAGCAAAAACTGTAATCAAATGAAATCTATAAAATAATCCCTCAATCAATTTAGATTCCAAACCTCCATAAACAAAAAGTAACACGAAAACAAACCCCTTCTTATGCTAATCAATTAGTATACAAATTAACTTTGAAACTTAACAAATAAAAACATCAAATGAAATCTAAAACATAATCGCCATTCTTAGTCCGATTGCCACACACCGAGTCATAACCTTCCTGGCTCGAAAAACCCGCAAATCGAAGCAGGAAAACCACCCAGAAACAGAAGCAAAGAGCGGAAAAGGAGGAAAGACCTCAGCTTAACTACAAGAATCCAAAACTTGTATTACAGACCAATCGGACAAGCCCGGTCTCCTCTTGGTTCCAAGCCAAAAACCGATTGTAAATGGCAAAAAAAAAAAAAATGAAAATAAAAAATAACGAATGTAAAGACAAACATTACGAAGTTAACGATTTTCGCCAGCCAGCCAGTAGCCAAGGAGTTGAGCTCAAAGTTGAAAGCCAGAGCAGATCGTCGAGTGGCCGGTCTTTGGCCTATGGTTTCGAGTGAAAAATTAAATTAAAAGTGAAGAAAAAATCACAAAGGGAAAACCACTGTAATATTGGTTAGAGATTTCTATTGGATATGCAAATAAAAAATAAAATAAGAAATTATTGTCTTAAAAGTGATTATTAAAAGTTTATAAAACTCTTACTAGCGAATGGCAACTCTACAACAACAAATTTTATAAAAATGAAAAACTTTTAAGACTAAAATCAATCTGGCTAAATATTAAAAAAACATAACATAACATACTAAAAACATTTCTACCAATGAATGTAAAAATATCAGCATTAAAATTAATATCAAAAACAACGTAAAAGAAACTAGAAAAGTGCAAAAACTCTTTCCCATTTAAGTTCTTTCTTTCTTTTAATTTTACAAGATTTGTATTTTCTGTTCCCCTTTAGAAGTTCTTATTTAAATAATAACTAAACAAACATCGAAAAATGTGAATTAGTAAAAGACTTACCCAAAAATAAAACCAACTAAAAGTTAACAACAAAAATGTGAAGGGCCAAAGGAAACGAGTTTCTACCTTTTCAAATGAGCTCTACAAAATGTTTCCTGCTGCTTGGCCCCTGCAAACGAGTTCGAAAGCCGCTGCAACGACCAACAGCCCAGTGCCCAGTGATAAATTGATTAACGAAAATGCTAAGCAATTAAACATTTGGCCACAATTGTATGAAAATTTATGCAAATCAAAGCCGAGCGATGACTGCGTGGCGGCGAGCAACATCAAAAGGCCACGAGCAGCAGCAGCCGCAGCAGCAGCAACAAGAAGCAGGAAGCAGCACTGGCAACAACCTGGTTGCCACACCGGCAACATCGCGCCATTGCAATTTGCATTTAATTGTTGTGATTATCTTGGCCTGCTGCACACGCTGGTAAGTCTATCCTAAGACCGAATCCATCGCCATTCACGAGCATGTAAAGCAAAACTCGGCTCTGTAAAATGCCTGTCAACAAATTAACTTCCAGCCGGGCTCATTACCTCGTTTTATATGGCGGCCTGTTGGCGGGTTAATTAATTAAACGACCAGCAACAACAACACTGCTGTTGCAGCAACAACAGATTAATCAATCGCCGGAGTGAGCCGCAGAAACACCTGTCAGCCGAAGGTGTTGGCATAATTAATATTGATCTAGTGATAGCCCAGGGAAATTAAGCCAACCTAATTGTGCCCGATTAACATGAGATTATTGATGCGGTGGGAATTACACACGGTGGGAAGCTGGCTATTTTCACCTTCTTGAGGGGTTTTGGTTAGGGAACATGTACATCGGAAATATGTTAATTGTAAGGTAAATAGGGCATGGAATGGGGTAAATTTAACTTAAAGAAATCCAAAGAGACCACGATAAAACATAGGAGAAGAAGGATATCTTCAAGTATTCACAATATTATTTACTAACCAAAAATAACAAAATAAATTATACTTTTACTATTTTTGCGTCAGACTAAAATGAGCTTTTGGTACGTGTTTCTGTTTTATTTCAAATATTAATTGCTTTTTGTACAAGCTTTAAAAGACAACATTAAAGTACATCATTATTTATTTTTATTTCTTTATTTTATTTGCTTGGGAAAAAATAAAACTTCTTGTTTCGTTTGTTAAATAAAATTAAATGTAATAATAATTTATTAAATAAATACTATTAAAATACTATTTCAGTATATTCACATTTGGTTACAATTATCGAAACTAACATTTTTCTTGGTATAAGATCTTATCGATTAATAGTAAAAAAGCTAATATGATATCGATAACGTCACCTTCTAACGTAACGTAATGTTTTCAATCTTTCGTAATTAACTTACACTTTACCTTTATAAATATAAATGTTATGTAAGTTTTGTGAACATTTTGTATTTTATGATAATGGTAGAATATAAGACTATATGCTGAAAAAAAATAATAAAAATAATTCCATTCTATTAACTAAGTAATGGTCTAAATAAAACTCCTTAACTTGTCATTTAAATATATCATTAAGTTGGTAACGTAAGGAACAATTTTTCGAATTCGACTACATCTCTATAAATGTGGACCACCATGGTAATTTTCATTGTTCTTAGTAAGAAATAATATATAATGGTAGTTAAAACTGTCGAAATTAAGGCAAGGTATTAGGAATATATGTAATGGAAAAATATATACAAATACAGAAACTATAGCTCACAACAATCACCTGTTTCCTAGTTACTTCTTTCAAATTATTATTTTTCTGCTTCAAAAACATTTATATTAAAATATCTATGAAATGATTTAGTTAATCCAACAAAACTATTTCGCGGCCATGCTAACAAAAATGGCAACTTACATGTTAGACCCAGCCAAACAACGAGCGCCATTTTAGAAGGCTTGTGCAACTTGTGGCAAATAAAATTGCCATCGGCTCCCGTGCCCGCCTCCTACTAGCAGTGGATGATTGGAGTTTGGATTGCAGTCTGTCGCTGGATCGGGATTGGAATCGGTATTGCAGTGCCCTCCAATGTTCCCAGTTACCGAACGAACCACGGGGGCCTACACACAATCGAGCTGATTCCAATTGCAGGGTGGTCCCCGGTACTCAAGTTTTATAATGCGCCTGGGTCGCTTGTCAATCCGAGTCTTCTGGCCAGGCTCTCGATTTTCCATGTGCGCAGTGAGGCGGAGCTGGTAACATGGTGCTTGGAGCAGGGATCAGGGGGCAGGGACCAGGGAGCTGGCTTGGATGGATGCTGGATACAAGTACACTGGCTGTTGGTTGCATTACTTTGCCTTGCCCGACTGGTTGCCTCGCCTAGTAGTTGCAGCTTGTTAATCTCGTTACTCTCGTTGTTGTCATACACTTTCAGGGGGTACTTTTCTTTGAACTAAGTAAAGGATATCAAATATTGAAAAATTACTTTTATATATGATACTTTTTAATCTAACATAATTTAAGGGTTTTAAGAAGCAAAATATAGATAGAAAATGTCATATGTTGATGAATTTCTGGATTTGTTCTTGTTAAGCTATAATTTTCAGCCCTATGAAAACTTGATATACTATTTATAATAAGTTTACAAATTGACTTCATCATTGCAGATCAACTTTCCAATTCATATCTAAATGACAAAAGTACATTTATTCATACTTTCCAAAAATCATAAATCTTAGATGATATTTATATAGCAAACTATAACAATCAGTGCGTAAGGGTGTTGCAGTCTTCGAGTGCCACATAAAAATGCAACCTTTTCTTGTTCCTTGGGGTTGTCAACATACTTTTTTGCCCTGCTTGTTGAGACTGCAGCAGTGCAGCAGAGCTGCAATGCAGCGGCGATGTTGCAACTGAAGTGCAGCTTGCAATTCGCTGGCGTTGTTGTTGCTCTTCTCGGCGCTTCCTTCGTCATCCTTATAGGTAGTTGCAACGTCATAATTGCAACGCATAATGAGGCACTGCCACAGCCACAGAGCCATGGTGCGCCACAATTTCGCTTGTTTGAAATGCAAATGAATTGTCGAAGTGCCACGCCTCCGGGTCGCCAGTTCTGCAGTTTGCAGCTTAATTGGGTGCACACACACCCACCAGACACCTGGGCTCACAGGTGAGCCAGCACTGCAGCAGATTTCACACGTTCAAGGGTTCTTCAGGTGCTTTTTTCTCGCATCACCACCTCCAACTTGATGTGAAATTATTTATGAGCCAACAGCTGCTGATTTTTGCTTCCGCCAGGCAGCATAATAATATTTTACGCAAATCAATGGTTCTTATTCTTTAGCTATTTTTTTTTAAGATTAAAGTCTGATATTTCTTTCAATAAAAAATCCTACTAATTTAAAGACAATACCAAAAAACACAAACAAAGGGGAAAACTTATTCAGAAAAATTTTTATAAAAATTTAAATTTTATAAGCTTTTTGATGCGGATAAAATAACGTTATTCTTAGCCAAATTACACAGCATTTTCAGAAACTACTAAACAACATATATAACAGGCGGTCACACTCGCTAACATGTGTAACAAACAGTCACACTAACTTATCCATACAAACTTAGTTGTAAGCACAATGTATTCCCCTCCCTTACTTTTGCATACTAGCGAACACTATGTGTGTCCTGTTCGCTCGATCGGCAAATGTCACCAATACATGTAGGAATTTGGATAGGATAGAATAAGATAAAGGAAGAAAGAACAGTTAGTTTGGGAACACAGAGGAGAACGGCATGTTCATAAAGATGCCTACACATATTCAAAATATTGACACCAAGCTTTGTTCCTTAAGGCCTTCCTTTTATACCTAATTTTAAATTAAACTAAGAATGCTTAACTATTTTAATTCTATTTGATTAAATTTTCAATAGAGTTTTAATAATTTTATCAAATGATACCTAAAAAATGGAAAGCTTTTTAATGCAACCTATTTTGATGCAACCTCTAAAATATCAAGAATATGCGATACCGTATTTAATTACCTAAAAAATCTCTTCATGTATGGAAATGAAATATTTTTATGCCGGATCACCCTGTACATGGACGGATTGGATCAAAGACATTCCTAGCTGTGGCTGTGGTCGCCCGAATTCAAGCCTCCCCTCCCTCCCTCCAAAGTAGAAAACAAACTGTTCAGGAATGTCTCCACCGAAGTTATCTGCCCCAACTGAAATGCTTCAATCTCCGGCTATCCGTCTGTATCTAACTCTGTGTGGGAAACATTGTTTGGCCTAAACTGGCCTGCCTGGCTTTAGCTTAGCCTGCTAGCTGAATAACAAAGATTGTCTATATGTATATAGAGAGAGGTCGCTGGAGAGCAGTAGAAATCCTTGATTTATGCATGGGCTACCGTTTGACAGGCCAGACACAAAATATAAGAAATATATAAAAAAAAAAGTATAAATAAAAAAAAACAGGCGAAAAAGTCTGGCTGTGGCGGCGCCTATTAAAGCCTCAAACTTTTTATGGCATTTCAATAGAACTCGCGAATGGAATCATCGAGCGTGAGAAAGGACTGCAGCAACTTGGTTATGAAAATCGAAATGAAATTTAGACCTGGCCAGTTGCCGGCTTTTATCTTGGCCACAACACTCTCCACGCCTGATAAGCAAACGTCTTGGCTCTGTTTCGAAGGAACAGCGATCGATAAATTTTATAAGCGAATCAATTGCATTGCTATCGCATCGCGTGAAATACGCAAACGAGGAATCTGGGAACTGAACTGGCTTGAGAAGCATGACTCAGACCCCTGAAACCGGCAAATCGGGCACTTTTATTGTGCAGAGAAAATAAAATTCAAGATTTTATATATCTAAATTTAAGTCAAAATCTGTAACTTAACTTCCTTTTAAACACATTTAATCTGAAACAAATCCATCTTTAACCTTTTTAAGGCTTAAAGTTTAATCCGTAAACAATTTAGTTTTCTCTCAGTGCACTGCTCTTTCTCTCTTTACGTTCGCTTATCAGTTTTATTGAAGTCGGCAAATGGCATCGGCAATGGTAACTAAAAGCCATATGCTTTATAAAGCTGTTAACAAAATGTGCATCAGTTTAAATTCTTTATCTGGCAAGATGTCTGGGCCGCATTGCAAATTCACATTCGTATCGCAGAAACGTCAGCCAATTAAAATGCATTTTGCCCAAGAAGTTGTTCAGCTTATTTTATCCTCTTTTTTTCCTCACTGCCTTTGAGATTTCCTTTACTCGTTTTTTTTTTTGTTTTTCAAATTAAGATTAGTTCTGAAATGGCAATTTGTGCTAGTTGGAAGGTAGTAAAAAGTTACTTAATCGATAGCTAGTTATGGCTTCTAAGTCGTATAACTTCATTGATTATAAACTACTTCAAGGTAATGATTAGTTGAGAAATGAGTTAAGTCAGTTAAATTTAGGTAAATATTGAAATAATAAAATAACAACAGATTAGATTAACCAAGAAATTCCTAAGACTTACCTTCCTTTAATCCTCTCTGCCTTAATTTGATATGCAAATTCAGCATTTAGAGCTACAAATTTCTTAAATTATTTGAACCTGCTGTGCGGATCTGGCCATCTGTTGATCTGGCGATCTGCTAACTAAATCAGCGACTGCAGTTACGTTGCGAGTTGCGAGTGGCATACAAATGAGGCGCAATGCCTCGATGAGGATCTCTAAATCTTTGCTCTTTGCAACAAAGAGAGACGTGTGTGAAAATGGCACGTTTATACATTTGAGGCATTTTTGTGTTCGTTTTTCCCTACACGCGACGTGCCACAATTAACCCCGCGCCAGTGAAGAAGAAGCAACCGCAGAAGATTGAGTCTGGGCATTAAGAAAATATATATTTACCAACGATTTTAAGCTGCAGACGCCAGACGCTCACATCACGTATACGCCCGGTATTCCTTGCTGCGTGTCGTAGATCAACGCGATTTCAACGCGATTCCAAAGCGATGCAAGTCGCGATGTGGCAACAACACATCAGCTGAAGTTAGACCTATGGCTAAACTCAGATGAAGTTGTTCAACGTCAACTGGCACTCACTCACATACTGCACAAGGGGAAAAAAGCGAAAAAAAAAAAACAAAACTCGTATCTGGTATCTCTGACCAAAGATCTGAACACCTCGGCCCGGCTTAACTTAACTTAGCTGACCTTGAATGCCATGGCTCGATCTTAAATGGGTTCAGTCGGTAGTGGATTTGTTAACCCCTTTTCATAAAATAGGGGCTATGATTGGCTAACAAAATAGAATGAAATTTCATTTACTTTTACATCGATTTAAGTATGGAGGTTCTCTTACTCCCTTTTATTATTTAGAAACAAATTTAGTAGGGTTAAGAATCTCTTGATCTAGTTAAGCACAGTTTTTTTTTTTTGGCTGCTGCAGAGCTGCGTGATTCATCGCCCAAACATTTGACAACACGATTTATGACAAACTTGGTAACAAAAATTATATTTAGCTACTGTCTCGAACCGCAGCTCGATTAAATCTCAGCTGAAATAAAAGCAAATTTAATTTCACATCTAGAGAAACGAAAACAAAATGAAATTTAATTAGTTTAGTCTTGTTTTTGTTTTTTTTTTTCGGGGTTTCTTCTGCGGTTTTGTGCCAGCCACTCAAGGTTAATTACGGTCTTCGAATTGTTGGGTTCACTTTTTCGGGCCATTTATTGCCAACTGCGGTTGCTAGCTGTAATCAAATTTTAATTGGATTTAAAATTCTGAGAGCAAAGTCATCTAAGCTATGGCCCAAAAATGTTCCCATCGTTTATGTGAATATTTTCTTAAGATTTTTTGATTAATTTTGTATTCAAATTTCTTTTAGGCTCTATGGCTTGCCGGATGGCCGCGCCACCTGCCGTTCAGTGCCTGGACTAACCAAGGATCAGGTGGAGCTCTGCTACAAGGCCAGTGATGTGACGGCGGCCGCTCTGGAAGGACTCGACATGGCCATTCGTGAATGCCAAATTCAGGTGCAAACTTGAATATTTAAAATATTATTTTATATATTTGCCAAATGTCAAAAAGTAGTATTTATTTACAGGTTTAAATTCTTTTTGTTTGATAAATATTCTTCATTATCTTAATTATTACAAAAATTAATGGTGAAAGTCTATCTAGTTTAATGCCACAATTTCCCTATATCTAAATGAACTCCTTAGTAGTTGAATACCATTAAAATTCCCCCACTTTGCCCTGCATTCTCCCCAACAGTTTCAATGGCATCGATGGAACTGTTCGTCGCTGAGCACAAAGAGCCGCAATCCGCATGCCTCCAGTTTGCTAAAGAAAGGTGAGTTGCTCGAGAGAGTTTCCCAGGTTCAGGTTGCCAACGGAGGTTGTCGAGGTAGCCGTGGCCCAAAGCCATTAAGCTGACACTAAAATGTGCAGTAAGCGTGGCTCAGCTTTCACGCAAACAAAATCGCTTTATGACCAGGCTAAAGTCCGCCAACGAAAGTCCGCCAACTGTCAACGAGTTTTGCGGTTCGGAAAAGCTAGGGCAGGGGGTTTGGTTGGCAGAGGGGCAAAGGGGGAAGGGGTCTGCAAACATTGCCGGCCCACACGCAAACCGCTAGGAAAAGAGTCTAATTAAAATTGCCCATAGCGGAGACGTTTGGTCAAGCAGACAATGTCCGAAGCTATTAACCGTCGCATTATTAGACACGACATGGCAGAAAAGCCACAGCAGCAACACAATCCCAGCTTCTAATGCTCCCACACAGGAAATAATTTTCGAGGAACTTAAAACTTTATAAACTGTTAGTAATAATATACCAAAAATGAAAAGTTTGTTCCATTAAATCGATCGAAAGAAGGGGATAGAAATTAAATTTTTAGTCGTTTTAACATTATTTTTTTGTGGTTCAATTTTTAAATCGAATATAATCTATATTCCTCTATATCTTCTATATATCAAATGAACTTAAAATTAAAAGTTTACAATTTGAAATCACAAACATTTTCTTCCTATGCACTCGCCTCACCCGGACTAGATCAAATTTCGTTGTGGCCGAGTAAGAGTGTTGAGTGGACCTTGTTCTGAGGAGGACTGGGACCCACCGTTTTGTCACAGATCGGTGCATCGCATCGCGAAAACGGCGGCTATGCGAACTTTGACTTTGATATCTTAATCTGTCCGGGGGGCATTGTGTTACCCAATCCCCCCTCTGTTTGGAAACCCACGCGGCGTGTGCCTTATGACGGATAGATCACACACACTCTCTCTCTATGAGGCCCATCTAAATACAACAAAGAGGAGCCGCATTCTAAGCCCCTTTTGTTGGACGGGCCAACAAGTAGCGGTAACTCTGATCACAGGCGCCGATCTACGCTTTTCTCTGCAAAACCTGGCAAGCTTCTTATTTTCCCGTTGACTACTGTTATGAGTCATGATATCATCGGGTTGGGGTGGGTGTTAGTAGAAGGGATTTCTTATTAACAGAAAGATCAGGAACTGTTGGGGTACATATCAGTGATTTCTTCCAAATTCATCTTTGTCTCCGTTACAAAAACCTTAAAAAGCGGAAGAATTTTATATAAAATGGAATTCTATTTATGATTTCCAATAGAAAGAAGATCAGCTTGAGGGAAATTCGTTCCACTACTGCCTCTATGTTCCATATTTTTGATTTGTAAGATAGAAGATCTTAGATAAACAGCCTTGAAATGAATGTAAGAAGTCAGATTTTCATGCTACTATTTCATCTATACTTAAGTCTCTGAAATAATTAACAAATTTTGTACATAAAATCTGTTTGCCTTCATTGGAAGCTTAGTGTCTATATTTAAATCAAAAACATCTTCAACTTAAAACCCCACCCATTAAAAATGTAAACGCAATTCAAAGAAATAAATCCAAACTCAATTACCCACTAATTTGGCCAGACACTTAAGCCATCCTATGGGAAAAGGCTCACTTCTTTAACCAGAATGCTTCATTAGTTAAATTATGCATCATACGATTGCTGTAAAAATGCCAAAAAAAGGGGGAAAGGGGGCAAGGAAGGCCAAGCTAAAGGAAACACAATGGAAATGGGCAAAATGGCGGCACTGCATCCAGATGCAAACGATATATGGCCGGGAGATGTTCGGGAGATTTCTCACAAATTTCAATGCGACAGGCGACAACAGCACAGCACAGCAGCGGCCACAGAAGCTAAAAGGGAAAGGCCCAGGGGCTTAAGGCTTTAGACTTAAGGCCTCATCTCGTTTTCGTCGTCTTTCGTGCGGCGTAATTTATTTGCATTCATCGTATAAATTATATTGTAAGCAAACCACTTCATTCAATTTCAATTTAAAAAATTGTTATCTCCGTTGACGGATGCTGCCGCATCCACTGACAACGAACAGCCGAGACAAACGAATGCTTTTTGGAGAGGAGCAGACAGGACAGGACAGGACAGTCCTGGGAATGGATATGGGATATATGGGATATGGGATTTGGCTATGGAATTGATGTGGCTGTGTGGATTTAGTGGACACGGTCAGAGTCCCAACATTGTCATTGTCATTCCACTGATGTGATTATCAGCATCGTTCTCGTTTCCTAATCGAACTAAATTTGTGGAACTGAAAACGGTTATCTCTTGGGATTAAATATTATATATCTGATATTAGTATAGAAAAGTGTTATATTTCTTAAATTTACTTTATTTTAATAAGTAATTTTAACCTGCCATCATTTTAATTAACTTTTATTAAGAGAGAAATCCATTTAAGACCTGATTTCTTAAAGGATTCCTTGAGTTCAGAATTATGAAGCTGGCAAAAGCAAAAGTTAATAATAAGCTTAGCCTTTTTTTGATATTGTTTATTAAAGATATCATTACCTTTATTTTTGAATATATTTTTAGTTCCAAAACATTTCCGTTGTTCTTTTAAGAACTAAGGGGATCTGAGATGAAATAATTCCATTACAGCACATTTTGTGCATATTATTTGCATTCGGGGGCATGGCAGTGGTTCGAGGCAAATGCCAAGCCGGCGGGTTAAAGTTAACAACATTGCCGAAAAGACAATGCCGAGCCATAAATCTCCAAATGCATGCCACACCAGCAGCAGCAGCAGCGGCAGCAGCACTTCCAAGTAACTCTCAACTAGCCTTCAGCCAATATGGTAAACCCAAGCTTATGTCACTGACATGTCTGAGGATCGTCCGTCTGTCCAGCAGTCCGCTGTCCACTGTCCACTGTCCACTGTCCACTGTCCGTTTGTCAACCCGGTCCGTTCGTGCGTCCATTAAATAAGGAAGGAACTGCACATAACGAGAGTCAATATTGACAGGCCAACAGCAACGCGTGCAACGATCGCGGCCAGCGAAGACGACTTATAAGGGCAGAAAGGCAGCCACAAAGTCAGGGATCGATTCGATGGACGGACATTGGACAGTGGACATCGAACAGTGGACAGTGGACAGTGGACGACATGGGGACCTCAAGATACGGGGGCCAACCAACGATGGGGCGACCAAGTGAAACGAAACAAATCAAGTCGCCCGGTCGGCGAGTCGCACAATGACTGACAATCGAAACGGCGCACGGACAGGTCAACTATTTTGCATACATCTACTATAACTTATGGAACTCGTCGGCCGTCGATCGTCGTTGATCGTTGATCGTCGCAAAGTCGTCGTTGCAGATCGCTGATCTTGGATTGGGTTGCTGGTACGGCTGCTGCTGCTGCTACCATGCATTATTGTCAATCAAGTGGAGCAGAGGGCAGTGGATGGGGCATGGCTCTACTAAAGGTTGCAGCAAAAAAGTAGTAAAAGGATTACCTACACTTGAAAATAGGGCTTTCTTAATCACTTTCTTTAACTTAACTTATATTCCTTCATTATGATTTAAGATTTAGGATTTAGTATTTTTACAGATTTAAGCTTGGAATAAATGTAAATTTATGTAAGACATTATCTAAGGTAAAGTACTTCTTTGTAAGTTTTTTTATGAAATATTTTATTTTTTAGTGTGTGATTTAAGATCGACCTTTGTCAGAGGACCTATCTCTTGGCTCTCTCTCTCGGGTTTCTCCTGGGTTTCTCTTGGACTTGTGACAACAAGCGAGCGACGTATGTCGCAAACAATTACTTGGGATTGCAACACGCGGGACAGGAGACAGGGGACAGGGGACAAGGGACGGGAGCTCCAGACTCTGGCGGAGATCGAGACAGGTCGCCAAGCCAAGTCAGATCTCGGTTTTGTGGCCAATTTATGCGCAAGGCGGTGAGAGATCGCGAGATGGCAAGATCAGGAGATCGGTAGATCGGTGGATCGGTGGATAGAGGGACCCCAAGGCATTGTCAAATGTAACTGTTGGCAATGATGTGATTTGGATTTGCAAATGGCCCGAGAGGGGACGGCCAGACAAACAAAGCGTGCATAAATCAAGTCCGCGATCACCGATCAGCGATCAGCAATCATTGATCAACGATCAGTGATCAGTGAAAAGCGGGAGTGAAGAATGCCGAGTGGGCTGGGAGTGGGGCTACTGTTCGCTGATGCCTTGATTGATGGCGTCTTAATCGTCAATCAAATGCGCGCTACACACACAATTTTCCATTGCACTTGCAGTGCAGCAATCGATCGCTGGAACATGGAACTGGAACCCCCCGATCTGTAGGACAACTTGTCACAACATTGACATTTGCATTCGTGCGCATCCTGAGTGACGGACTGGCCAACTTGACTGACTGACTGATTGCTTGACAGGGGCTCCAGGAGGAGGAGGAGCCCCAGCACTGGTATCCGCGACCCCAGAATGATGCAAGCCTGTCACATTGACATATGTACTCGTACTGTCGCCGATTTGGAGATCTCTCTCGCTCTCTCTTACTCTGCTTTTGGCATTATGCAAAGTGGCGCTGACCATTTGCATGTCAATCGCTTGACAAATGTTGCCAACTTTGGGACACTCACGGCCATGTCGACCATGATTAACGTCAGCATTTTTGACAGCCATTTGACAGCTGCCAGCGCTGCATAAGGCATTTCAAATAATACACTGGAGGGATTTTGAGAGCTCTTCTTTACTAATATTAAAGATAAATAACAACCATTATTCATCCTTAATATCTAATCATCGGCATCACTATGGTTCTAGTCTGAGATAATAACAGAGATCGATAATCGATAACACTTAGTTCCGCCATTATAAGGAAATCGCTTTTATGCATATCCCAAAACTTTAAGCTTTAGTATTTTTCTAAGTGCATCCCAGTCTTGGGTGGGTGTGGACTTGCATCATTAAAAATGGTCTTGCCACAACCTCTTTGCTCTGAGCTGTTGTCAAAGCTGAAATGCCGCTGAATTCCCAGGACGGCGACTGCTTCGAATGCAGCGTTAAAAATAACACCGCATAAATTGGCGTAGTGGCCAATGATTCCCAGGGGCAGGACCACCTCATTCCGATACACATACCAGCTACTCCTCAACGCACTTCTTTCCGTTTTAGGCTACCGAGAGAGTGCGTTCGCCTTTGCCATCTCGGCTGCCGGAGTGGCCCACAGTGTGGCCCGCGCCTGCAGCCAAGGTCGTTTGATGTCCTGCGGCTGCGACCCGACCATCAATCGGAAAACGCTCAACAAGAACCTGCGCCAATCGCTCGACAAGGAGAAGAAGCAGTTTCTCCAGTACTTGGAGACGAACCAGATTCTAACGCCCGAGGAGGAGAAGAAGTACGAGCGCTCCAAGATCGCCAGTCGCTGGAAGTGGGGCGGCTGCTCCCACAACATGGACTTTGGCGTCGAGTATTCCAAGCTGTTCCTCGACTGCCGCGAGAAGGCCGGCGACATCCAGTCGAAGATCAATCTGCACAACAATCATGCTGGACGGATAGTAAGTTTAGCTCCTCATTTTCTCTCTTTCTTTCTTTCTATAACTTTCTAAATACTTTCCTAGGCCGTCTCCAACAACATGGAGTTCCGTTGCAAATGCCATGGAATGTCCGGCAGCTGCCAGCTTAAGACCTGCTGGAAGTCCGCCCCCGACTTCCACATCGTGGGCAAGGTGCTGAAGCATCAGTTCCGCAAGGCCATTCTGGTGGATCAATCGAATCTGGGCAACGGGGAGCCTGTGGTTGTCTTAAAACGGGCGCGAAATAAGAAGTCAAATGGGGGCAGTGGATCTGGATCCACTTCACCCGATCTGGATACCGCGGATGCATCTGGTGGTCATGATGGAGGTGGAACAGGTGATTCAGAGGCGCGCCGACATGAGGATCTTGGAGTAGAGCGGGGAACGCGACAACAGAGCGCCGATAAAAATGCGGCAAGAATGGCCCGTAAACTGGAGACCTCGTTGTTTTACTACCAACGATCGCCGAACTTCTGTGAACGGGATCTTGGAGCTGATATACAGGGTGAGTTAGGCTTTAGAACAATTAGTTAGTCTGACGCTCTTTGGTTTTATATACCTGAATTTTACATTAAAATTTATAGTTTTATTTCTGTTAAAAGTAAATGAAAAGACTTAAAAATGTTCCGAACTGTTATGACTTACTAGTTGAAAGAGACTTTAAATAATAGAAAGTAAAGCATTGAAAATAATGATTATTAGTCCAATGTTTACAACTAACAGAGTACCTTAGCAAGACCAACTAATAAGTACAAGTGTTAAAGATGCAGAGTCAACCTTTGCTAACAGATTTGAACTTCTTAAAATCAATTTTTTAAAACTGAATTAAGTTTGGTTAATAAAGCCAAAATTCCTCAAATTTTCTTCGTAATTCATGCCTCTTATCACTTTAAATTCCTACTCACCAAAAACCCATTACTTAATAAGTTAATTTACCATTTTGTCGTTAAGAAATTTGGTGCAACTAATTAAAAATGATTTACCGATACGATCCAGGCGATAAATTTGATTGGCCTCTAATAAATAAATCACAAATGCAAATGAACAACAGCAGCCACCGCAAATGCAAAAAAACCGAAAAAAAAGTTTTTTAAACGGGCTACCAAACATGCCACATAATTCACGTAAAAAAAAAATGCGGCAACGAGGCATGCGCATAGCAGCTCAGTTTGGCTTAGCTCAGTTTGGAGCGGATTGGATCGGATCAGCTTAACTCAGTTTGGATTGTTTAAGGCAGGAGCGGAGTTTAGTCGAATCTGAGAAGGGTTTTATTTTAACTGATTAAAAAGATAAGGATATTCATGCTAAGAGCAAAGGTCATTTTAGTATCTTAACATAGGCACTTAAATCTATTATACTTAGTATATAATATTAAGGACAACTTTTCTTGGCTTTATAGCAAATATTTCACAGGCTATTATGTAATATGATAACTAGATAAACTATATATAACTATAAACTAAACTACTCTGCCAAACATTAAACTATTTACTAGAAAAACCTCTCAAACCTAGCAATCATTCAACGAATTTCCCAACAATTTACACTTTTTAAAAACTGTTATTGCGTTAGCTTTAGCCCCTTGAGACCCCCTTGATTCGTCACTGTCTTTTGGGGATCGCTTTGAGCTGAGGCACGTTCACATCGAAATCGACGTCTAACTGCCACTTGCCATTTTCGTTGGCCATTTTGCCGTTGACACATTTGCAAATTATCAAAAGTCGCTGCTACGCCGGCTACTGCCAGCAGTTTAAAAGTGTTAATTACGACGCAAATTTATAATTAATCGCCGGCTTAGCTCGGTAGCTCCATCATCAGCTCCAGCTATAGCTCCACTGAACTGGGGGACTGGTGACCAGCCCATCGGGCGTTTTGATTCATGTGCTCCGTGCCCGTGCCCGTGCTCGTGTCCGGTGTCGTGTCTAGCCAAATGATGGCAATTAACGTTGGCAATTATCGTCGTCCAAACAATTATGATACTTTGTTTATGCTTTAGTTTAATAGTTTATTTATGGCCTTTTAATAGCCTGTCCTCAAGTGGGAAGGGATTAAAGGAGATCTGATCGAGGTTTTCCAGTCAGTTAAAGCGGGAAATGTCGTTCTAAGCTTTTAAAACGATAAAAAGTTGGGTATTTCCAGTCAATGGAAATATTATTAAACTTTAACTTTTTATTTTAATTAAATTCTTATCAAGAATGTAGTGAGCTTGATTAAATCTGAACATTTTCCGACAATAGGATTTCTTTTTTAATGAAATGAAGTATCGTTTTTTGAATATTTCGATTAGTTCTTATTTTCTGAATTTCTGATCTGTTTTATTTTCTACAATAAACTAACAAAACACATTAAAACATGTTATTATATCCAATATTTTCCAGGGACCGTTGGTCGCAAGTGCAACCGTAACACCACGACCAGCGACGGATGCACCTCCCTCTGCTGTGGGCGTGGCCATAGCCAAGTCATCCAGCGGAGGGCGGAGCGGTGTCACTGTAAATTTCAATGGTGCTGTAATGTGGAGTGCGAGGAGTGTCACGTGGAGGAATGGATTAGCATATGCAACTGAGGGAGATGAACGAAGTGGCAGGCGAGAGAAGGAAATGGTAGCCTTCAGCCAGACGAATAAGAAAAGACTTTTCTTCAATCTAAATGAAAAACTTAACACACAAAAATCAGTATTAAAAGGAAAACCATAACATACGCAATAAGGGCAGAAAACAGGCTAAGAACAGACAGCAGTAAACGTGTGTGAATGCAATGTGCTTAGTTTAGCAATCTCCAGCCATTTGGATTACGCATAAATATATTTTGTAAATACGAATAATAAGATGCATAATTAGTCTGTCAATCAGCTGACTTTCACTCGCGTTGTTGCCAGTTTCCTTTTTTCTTTTCCTTTCACCTGCCGCTTTTCACCCACCTGTGTCTCTGAGCTTTTCCTTTGTTTCGTTTTCGCTCTCTAGCACGTGAATGTCGCCGCAGTTGCTAATTGAATTAGCCAGCTAAATAGTTGTCCAAGGTGTGCACCCAGGTACTGCCCATTGCGGGGCTTCCTTCCTTGCCAGTGAAAAGCCGTCGATTGCATTGGCCCATCATTTAGTTGGCTTACGGCAGCGGTACGTGCTGCATGCGTGCGGTCGGTTCGAAATTCTGAATAAAAATATTTCCCTTAAAAGCAAATATCTCAAGGAAAAGTGTGCCACTCTCTGATATAGCAAAGGTGTGTCCTGAAGGATTAAGTGCTACTAAATCTGTAAAGTGGTTTTCATGAAGAAGTTTTCAGTCCAAGAAAATTAAGAAGCAGCCGAGAACCCAAACTTTTTCAACTTTCTAAAGGATGTCCTGCTGGCCAAAGGATTAAATATATATTCCTTGGATTTTAAGAAAACATTTAATCAGGTTTTGGTATACTTTTCAGAAATTAATCTGCTTAAATATTTGTTATCAAAGGTCTTTAAAAATATTTTTGGATTTTTATCAATCAAAGTTAAGGAAAAACTGAAAAGATAAACTACTTATCTAGCTAAAATAGGAAATCTGAAATTAATTTTTACCCACAAAAATAAAAGCTTATGAACTCTATAGTTAGTACTTAAAGTTAAATGTATAAAATTAATATAAATTTTCTTTGAAAAAAGAAAAAACTTTAACCCTTGTCTTCTAACCAAGAGATCCAAAGAAACCCCTTGGAATGCTCTTTTCTTTAGGGTTTTGCAAATTGCAGCAATGAACGCAAGCATAATGCGATTTGCATTAGGGAAAAGTGAAACGAGGGAAAGTTAATCCCCCTGATAACCCCTTTATGCTTTATGCCTTATTCCCCAAGTTTAACCCACATATTCTTCGAACATTTAGAAGAATCATCTAAGTCAGGATGTATTTACCATACTCCCAATTGCCGGATCCTACGGATAAATTCGAGATCTACGAGGAGATAGCCCAGGGTGTCAATGCGAAGGTTTTTCGGGCCAAGGAGCTGGATAATGATCGAATAGTGGCCCTGAAGATCCAGCACTACGATGAGGAGCACCAGGTGTCCATCGAAGAGGAGTATCGCACTCTGCGGGATTACTGCGACCATCCCAATCTTCCTGAATTTTATGGCGTGTACAAGCTATCGAAGCCAAATGGACCCGATGAGATCTGGTTTGTCATGGAGGTGAGTCAAGAAAATGCTAAAATTTAAGTAGTTAAAACAATAATTGATTAACTTTAACTTAACTTAACTTTAAATTTAAATGGAAATAAATAAAGTTAATAATTATAAAAAAAACTTTCTGTCAGTACTGCTCGGGAGGAACAGCCGTGGATATGGTGAACAAGCTCCTGAAACTGGACCGTCGGATGCGGGAGGAGCACATTGCCTATATCATCCGGGAGACTTGCCGTGCAGCCATCGAACTAAACCGTAATCATGTCCTGCATCGGGACATTCGCGGTGATAACATCTTGTTGACCAAAAATGGAAGAGTTAAGCTCTGCGATTTCGGATTATCCCGTCAGGTGGACTCTACTCTGGGAAAGAGGGGCACCTGCATTGGCTCGCCCTGTTGGATGGCACCCGAAGTGGTGTCCGCCATGGAGTCCCGAGAACCGGACATTACCGTTCGTGCCGATGTCTGGGCCTTGGGAATTACCACCATCGAACTGGCTGATGGAAAGCCCCCGTTCGCTGACATGCATCCCACTAGAGCCATGTTCCAGATCATTCGCAATCCTCCGCCGACTCTTATGCGACCCACAAATTGGTCGCAGCAGATCAACGATTTCATCGCCGAGAGTCTGGAGAAGAATGCCGAGAATCGTCCCATGATGGTGGAGATGGTGGAGCATCCATTTCTCACCGAACTCATTGAAAACGAGGACGAGATGCGTTCGGACATCTCGGAGATGCTGGAACTCTCCAGAGATGTGAAAACTTTGTACAAGGAGCCGGAATTATTCGTGGACCGCGGCTATGTCAAGAGATTTGATGAGAAGCCGGAGAGGATGTACCCGGAGGACTTGGCTGCCTTGGAAAATCCAGTGGATGAGAACATTATCGAATCACTGCGTCATCGCATTTTGATGGGAGAATCCTATAGTTTCATTGGAGATATCTTGTTGTCCTTGAATTCCAATGAAATCAAAGAGGAATTTCCCCAGAGGTGAGTGAAAACTTAAAATTATATTTTATTTATTATTGACTTCAAGTTTAAATATTCAAAGATTAATTTGTAATTATTTTCCTATTATCACCATTACTTTACCAGTTCCATGCCAAGTACCGCTTCAAGTCGCGTTCGGAGAATCAGCCGCATATCTTCTCGGTGGCCGACATCGCCTACCAGGACATGCTGCATCATAAGGAGCCACAGCACATTGTGCTCTCTGGGGAAAGTTACTCGGGCAAATCTACTAATGCCCGTTTGCTGATCAAGCACCTGTGCTACCTGGGCGATGGAAATCGTGGGGCCACTGGTCGTGTTGAGAGCTCCATCAAGGCCATTCTGATGCTAGTGAATGCAGGAACTCCGGTGAACAACGACTCCACCAGATGTGTTCTACAATACTGTTTGACTTTCGGAAAAACTGGCAAGATGAGCGGAGCTGTTTTTAATATGTACATGCTGGAAAAGCTGCGAGTGGCCACCACGGATGGCACAGCACAACTTCCACATTTTCTACTACTTCTACGACTTCATCAATCAGCAGAATCAGCTCAAGGAGTACAACCTGAAGGCTGAAAGGAATTATCGCTACTTGCGGGTTCCACCAGAGGTTCCACCATCGAAACTGAAGTATCGTCGTGATGACCCCGAGGGCAATGTGGAGAAGTTCAGGGAGTTTGAGAACATTTTGAGGGACATTGACTTCAATCACAAGCAACTGGAGACCGTTCGTAAGGTGCTGTCTGCCATTTTGAATATCGGCAACATCCGTTTCCGGCAGAACGGAAAGTTTGCGGAAGTGGAGAACACCGACATTGTCTCCCGAATTGCTGAGCTATTGCGGGTGGATGAGAAGAAGTTCATGTGGTCCCTGACCAATTTCATCATGGTCAAGGGCGGCATCGCCGAGAGGCGTCAGTATACTACTGAAGAGGCTAGAGATGCCCGCGATGCGGTGGCCAGCACCCTCTACTCCCGATTGGTGGACTTCATCATCAACAGAATCAACATGAACATGTCCTTCCCAAGGGCTGTGTTGTAAGTATTGTTTACTTTTTAACTAGTTTATAGTTTTATTTTTCATAAATTTTAGTGGCGACACCAATGCCATTATCATCCATGACATGTTCGGTTTCGAGTGCTTCAATCGCAATGGTCTGGAGCAGCTGATGATAAACACTCTAAACGAGCAGATGCAATACCATTATAATCAGCGCATTTTTATCAGTGAAATGCTGGAAATGGAGGCTGAGGACATTGATACCATCAACCTGAATTTCTATGACAACAAGACAGCTCTGGATAACTTGCTGACCAAACCGGATGGCTTGTTCTACATCATCGATGATGCCTCACGTTCTTGCCAAGATCAGGATTTGATTATGGGTATAACAGCTCTACTAACACCCACTGGGTTTATCTTATTTGAGTATTTTTAATGTCACAGATCGTGTTTCGGAGAAGCACAGCCAGTTTGTGAAGAAGCACACTGCCACTGAGATATCCGTGGCTCATTACACGGGCCGCATCATCTACGACACGCGCGCCTTTACCGACATCAATCGGGACTTCGTTCCCCCGGAGATGATCGAGACCTTCCGCTCCTCGCTGGATGAGAGCATCATGCTCATGTTCACCAATCAACTGACCAAGGCTGGCAATCTCACGATGCCATTTGAGGCGGTCCAGCATAAGGATGAAACGGAGAGGAGGTCTTATGTGAGTTTGCCATTTGGGCACAAACTTTCTATAATGATATTTTATACTATATAATACTATATTATTATACTTTAAATAATCCCTTTTAGGCTTTGAACACTCTGAGTGCCGGCTGCATCTCCCAGGTGAATAATCTCCGTACTTTGGCGGCCAACTTCCGCTTCACCTGCCTGACCCTGCTCAAAATGCTAAGCCAGAATGCGAATCTCGGCGTGCACTTTGTCCGCTGCATACGCGCTGATCTGGAGTACAAGCCCAGAGCTTTCCACTCGGATGTCGTTCAGCAACAGATGAAGGCCCTGGGTGTCCTGGACACTGTCATCGCCCGGCAGAGGGGCTTCAGTTCACGACTGCCCTTCGAGGAGTTCTTAAGGCGGTGGGTAACAGCTTTGATTTATGTTAGGAATATATTCAAATAATAATGCCATTAAACTTATATAAATGTAGGTAGTTAATCAAGATACTGATGTTAATTTTACCCTTTCCTTAGATACCAATTCCTTGCTTTTGACTTCGATGAGCCTGTGGAAATGACCAAGGATAACTGTCGTCTTTTGTTTTTGCGTCTCAAGATGGAAGGCTGGTCCTTGGGCAAGACCAAGGTTTTCTTACGCTACTACAATGATGAGTTTTTGGCCAGGTGAGAAAACATTTCATGCACTTAAAGAAAATATTTATAAGAATTTATTACAGACTGTACGAGCTGCAGGTGAAGAAGGTCATCAAGGTGCAGTCTATGATGCGAGCCCTTCTAGCACGAAAACGCGTCAAAGGCGGCAAGGTGTTCAAATGTAAGAGCCACAAATTAAACTTAGTATTAGATGTATAAAAACTAATTGAAAAATCCCATCGTAGTGGGCAAAAAGGGACAGGAGCAACACGATGTGGCCGCGTCCAAAATACAAAAAGGTAAAAAAACGCAGGTGGATAGGCTAAGAGAGTACGAAGAGGAGCACATCGACATAAGTGAGACGCCCTCGGAGGCCGAGGAGATGTTCCTCGAGGCCAGAATGGACGAGGCCCTGGCGGCGGTGCGAATATCGAAGATCGAACAGGCATCAGCCGATGAATAGTCCCCCAAACTATATACCATTTATACACACTATATCACACTATATCGATCGATATTACTCGTAATACTACAACTACTACTACTACTACTACCAATAAAATCTAGAAATTGCAAATGCAAAAGAAAAAAAACAAAACAATCAACTAGTCTAGGGTCTCGGCAACCACTTAAGCCGCTTAGTGGTGTCAAATGTGGATGCCACCCCGCTGGGCGGTTGTAGTTTCTATCTGATGCAACCAATCGGCTTATAGCTGTCTGAGACATAACACTTAACATCGACGGCACCTCCGGCAAGAGATGAATTATAAGTGCTGCGTAGAAAAGAAATGAAAATTTAATTAAATTAAGGTGACTTCCCTCTCATTCTCCTCTGTACACCATCACTTATCACCCATCCACCCCGCTGACCGCCTTTCAAATGGGCTACTCTAACGGCTTTCCTCTGCTTTCATTTTCCCACAGCCTTTAGGGGATTCCGCGACCGGGTACGTCTCCCTCCGCTCGTCAACGAGAAGTCCGGCCAGCTGAACGAGAACACCGCCGACTTTATCCGCCCGTTTGCCAAGAAGTGGCGCGAGAAGTCTATTTTCCAGGTCTTACTGCACTACAGGGCGGCTCGCTTCCAGGACTTTGTCAATCTCTCACAGCAGGTGAGTGAAGATCTCTAACATAATGTATACTAAATATCTAGAAATATGAAAATTAGCTAATCAAATAGTTCATGGAAAGTCATCTATGAAACTTTCCAAAAACTATATTTTTAAAGATACCCGATATCCCCTTCCCAGGTCCACATCTACAACCAAAGAATGGTGGCTGGCTTAAATAAATGCACCAGGGCTGTGCCCTTCGAGAGGATCAACATGCGCGAAGTGAACTCCTCGCAGCTAGGACCACTGCCAGTGCCCATAAAGAAAATGCCCTTCCGCCTGGACCAGATTCCCTTCTACGACACCCAGTACATGGTGGACCCGGCTAACTCGATTTCCCGCCAGACATTTCCCAATCAGTTGCTAACACAGCACATGGAGGATGATGAGCCCTGGGACAGTCCACTGCAGCGCAATCCCTCGATGACTTCGTGTGCCCTGACCTACAATGCGTATAAGAAGGAGCAGGCTTGCCAGACCAACTGGGATCGCATGGGCGAGAGTGACAATATCTACAATCAGGGCTACTTCCGAGACCCCCAGCAGCTAAGGAGGTTAGTATATAACTTAAACTTACTAAAGTTTATTTAGATTTTAACCTTCTTGTAAACAGAAACCAAATGCAGATGAACATGAATGCCTATAACAATGCCTACAACAGCTACAGCAGCAACTATAACAACCAGAACTGGGGGGTCCATCGATCCGGATCCAGACGCAACTCTTTGAAGGGCTATGCGGCGCCTCCTCCTCCTCCACCGCCTATGCCCTCATCCAACTACTATCGCAATAACCCCAACCAGCAGCAGCGCAACTATCAGCAAAGATCCTCGTATCCACCATCGGATCCAGTGAGGGAACTACAGAACATGGCTCGCAACGAGGGAGATGTAAGTATTATGACATACAATTCTGGGAAACTATCTAAACTTGTACTTCTTAGAACTCCGAGGATCCTCCCTTCAACTTCAAGGCCATGCTGCGTAAGACAAACTATCCAAGAGGATCCGAGACTAGCACCTATGACTTCAACAATCGTCGGGGCTCGGACAGCGGTCAGCAACACACGTTCCAGGCGCCAAAGCTACGATCAACAGGTCGTCGGTTCCAGGAAGATGAAGGCTATAACTCATCATCGGGCAACTATGGGGTGTCTAGGAACTTTGGCCAGCAGCAAAGGGCTCCGACATTGAGGCAATCACCTGCCAGTGTGGGTCGCAGCTTCGAGGACAGCAATGCCAGGTCGTTTGAGGAGGCAGGATCCTATGTTGAAGAGGAGATCGCACCGGGAGTGACCCTATCCGGCTATGCCGTGGATATCTAAAATTAATTGATAAGAATTTAAAGATTATAGTTAAATGTTATGCAGTGCGTTAAGACAATTGAGAAAACCAACCCACCTGAAATTCCGCAACACAACTCTTTTTCTTCATAACATTCTGTCAAAAATGTTTCATAAAATGAAATAAATAAATTATCTTGAGTTAAAATTATATGATAATTTGGTGTTTAATTAAATAATTAAAAGAAAATTAAACAAATTCCAACTTGGGGAAAAGCCGATATAACCATAAAATCTTTTAAACTTAATATTGCAGTCACAATTTTATACCTTAAAAACTACAACATCAACTATAATTCAGCAAACATTTTGCATTTTATTGACGTAGGATAAAAATGGGAAAATTCGACGATTTAACATTGCTTTTTACTCTTGCTTGTTTGTTCTACCATATAAATGATTTCATTTTCACACTTTTAAATCTAAAACGCAACAACAATACTCTCAGTATTACATAAACTATATCCATTATACATTGTATATATATAAACATTAATAGCTAAACAAAAACTTTAGGAATGAATTGAACAAATACTCTTTTGTTCGCAGGACTTATTTTTCGCTGTGTTTTGATAGGGCTTGAATTAAGGCTAAAGGAAAAAGAATTGAATTATTAACTGCACACCCAAATCGGGCATGGTCTAATAAATTCTTGAACATGATAAAAACAAGCTTTTCCTCTTAATAGTTTCATATAATATCAATCATCCATGCCGGGTTCGCGTAAGCCGTCCGAATGCATTTTCTTGCCAGCGATTTCCAACATAGCACGATCTTCCAAATTGCCATCCAACACCGAACGTTTCTGTGGGTTTCAGGTTATTATTAATAACTATTTATTAAGTTATGTTTTAGTTAGACATACGTGACCCTCGCCCTCTTCATCGCCTTCCTTCACGGGTAAGTCTCCAACGGCCCACACTTCCATGTTTCGTATCTTAAATTGCTTGCGTTTACTTTGGGAAGAAAAAAAAGAAATATTTTTGATATGAGTGATTATTTCACTAAAAATAATAATACTCACCTTAGCTGTACATAATCTCGATATGTGGTGCAGCTTTCAACGCTCTGTCCATCGCCGAAACTGCAGTCAATCCACAGGCCCCAGAAATCAAACTGGCCGCCCATTCCCTATATACCAAAGATAAACAATTAGCGGAGCTATCAATCAATTATTTGGAAACATTACTCACCAGGCCATTCGGCATAGTCTGCTGATTCAAATTCAAATACTGATAGTGATCGTTATAAGTTGTGGCCGAAAAGCACCGCATGGCAGGGCTTAAGGTGTAGAGCAATGAGCTATCATCGCCCCCAAATTGTGGTTTCACAGACCACGTTTCGGATGCATAGCCGCCAAATATGTACTGATCCTCGTCCTCGATAAAGAACAACGTAGGTCCCTTGTCCAAGACTTTTCCCAACATGGTCGAGAAGCTCTCTCCATTAATTTTCGATGAAAACAGAAAACGCCATTTATGACGATGCTCGCGTGGTAACTGGGCATTGATATATAGGACGTGCGGCAGTTCGATGATTGGGCGATAGTGACTATTCTGCGGAGCATCTGTAATGGAAGAAATTAGTGATTAATATTAAATCAAATTATTTTTCTATTGTTCTCCTTACCACACATTTCTGGAAGAATGGGAATTTCCATTTCCTTAATTATGTTGCGTTTGCTGCCACCATGACGGCAGTACAGCTGACTAAAGACCTCGCGCCAGAGCTGCAGGAACTGGGGAGTGACGTGCAACCAGCGTTCCACGGCTTCATTGGGCATAGTGTGCTCCAGCTCCTTGCCCAGATTCCGCATCAGCCCTTTGGCGAAAGTGGCCGCCGATCGTTCCGTGGTATTGAAGCCTATATCCTGCCATTCTTTGATGCCCGAGTTCTTGGCAGTGCTTTCTAGATGCACGTAGCTTTTTATCACCGAGTAGATGTACTGTTTAGAAATAAAATTTGCATTAAAAGTTGGTGCCATTAATAAATATGATATATGTACTATTTAGACAAAAGCTTCGAAATTCTGAATTAAAGCAATCTGGAAGGCTTTTTATAAAGGCGGCAAAAGCAAGAATGGTCATTCCTTACGTCGTACATATTATTAAGGGCAAGCCCACTTAACTAAACACATTTTTGATATGACAAATAAAAGATATAGACATGATTTCTTGGTCTAAAAACAATATAAAGCTGTCAAGATTATGTCTCCTCTTTTAATCAGCCTTTTCCTTAGTACAAAATTAAATTCTGTCTTAAAGTTTTTTATCAAGAAGCCAAATTCCTCAAGTATCTGAAGGGTTTGATCATCTTACAGAAGTTATAAACATTACTTCAACGATATTCGATAATGTTTACAATAATCCCTCGACCGGTTTGTTTATTTTTAGACTCACTTGCTCCAATTGCTTGCTGTTGAAGGTGTCACTTCCACTTCTGTCCAATGAACCCAAGAGCATTTGCAGCTTCTGGTCAATAGTTCCACGCTCCATAATGTAGTAAGGCTCTCCGAATTTCTTTAGCGGTATGTTGACACATTGCTGGCCAGGCTTCGTGGGTGTAAATAGATATTGAGCCGTACTTTCGGCCAAAGATCGTTCGATGGTTTGTGACCAAGTTTCCTGTTTTCAAAACATAGAAATAAAAAAAAAAAACAAACAAAAGATATAAACAAAATGCGCACCGGATACATAAACATAATTTTCCCGCTGCTGTCAGCAAATTCTTGCAGGGAACGAAGGTCTGGGAAGTGCTGACACAGATTAACCCATTGAGGGCCGCACATAGAGAAATATTAATGGATTTGATTCAATTTATGAAATTTAAAGTCTCTTCGCTCTCTTCCCTTTAGAAGTTTTTAGGTTTGAATTATTCGATGTGTTTTTCAGAAAACAAAATATTACTTAAAACTGAACAAGGTTTTTTCCTGTGTACCATGATTATTAAATTTATGGGAATGCGGCAGCAGATGGCATGCCGCAAACGGGTTAAGCATATTGTTTATTTTTAATTCAATTGGGCTGGCCCTAATTGACGACCCCAGTCATCGAAATCACGACTAATTCGTTAGCAAGCAAATTCAACAAAGCAAAGACAAACAACGAAATGCGACCGCAAACAAATCAGACAAATTGTGGACACGTTCACCCCGGCACATGCCCATACCTATGCCCAGGAATTATCAATTCAAAACTGATAACGCTCATAGTGATAGATATCGAATTTTGGCATACCCTGGCGAATGTGGTGTTCATCAATCTTGACTTATAAATAGATTAAATAGGCAAAATTTTAAGGTATCATCTGGTTGCAAACATTTTTTATATGCCTGCATTTCCGTCATCTCTGTTGTGGTAAAAATAAAACGACTGAGAAATCTGGGGCCTTGAACCGGCATCGGAAAAAATTATATCACAAATGTTTGTCGAATTTTGAATTGTTAATCAAGATCGTTGGAAAGTGATAGGCTAAGTAATATTTATAAAATTAGTTAGCTAATTACTGTTTAGTTTATAACTGAAAATACTATTCTTGTTTAAGATTTTGTTTAAGTTTGAGAGTTTCCAGTTTTAATTTTAAAAACTTAAATTTTGTGACTCAAGAAAATATTAAATTCTGTCAATGTTTCTGTTAAAAAATAATTTTAAAAAAATTGAATTAAACTTATAATCAAAATCAACGAATTTCCTCAGCCACTAAGCACCCTAAAGAATATACCCCATCAACATAGGGTGACACAATCACAGCAGGTGGATGGCCATTTGTTATGGCCTATATGGCCCTTGTTGGCCGTGATTTGGCTTTTTCGGTTTTAAAGGAAGTTCACTCCGCGCGTCCTTGAACTTGTGACCCTGACCCTGCCGCAATTGCAGCTTGCAGGCAGAAGTTGCCATTGATTTTCGCACTCACACACGTGGCACTTGAATCCCTACATACCACCAATCTGTCTTGGGTCAGCTTTTCAAGAGCTCCGCCGGAAGCGTTTTTATACGCCGATTCCAGCATTCGTAGCTCCTCCGATGTGTAGAGATTATCCGTCTCCCGCTTGCCACTGGCATTTCCCATTTCCTTTGACCAGAATTTTGCTGGCTGATGTTACGACAGTTGGTAAACAAACAATGCTGCTGCAGCTACGTGCGATCGCGGATTTTAGTTGAAAATAAAAAACAAACAACACAACCTAGAGCTGGAACAAAAATCGATGTGCTTTCGATACCATCGATGGGCCTTAAGAGTGCAGCATATCGATATTTTTACAGGTTGCTGGCAGCGGTAAATTTACCAATGGTGGGTGTACTTACTATGCCGTATGGGTGCAAAAGAGAAACTGTTAACCTCTATGTTAATTCTATGGTTTAACCACTGTTACTAAACTAATCTATTAATCGATGAAGATGCTAGCTCTACTGCTTATACTCATGTTGCATATCCAAATTTAGGTCTAAAATAACTCATTTAATGCTCAAGGCGTTTAGAATCTGGGCAATATACATTAATGGCCTAGGTTCATAATTGATTTTTTAATAATTCATAAGCGCCACCTGTTTTCATGCATTTCAAACTTTTCAACTAAAAGTAACGCCTCTGAACATGGTTATCCTTTTAACCATTTTTAAAAATGTTAACATAATGACATAAAGATTTTTCTGAGTTGATATGTTTTACTAAATTATTTTATATTATGTATTATAGTGAATATTAATTTAAATATTTTTATTTTTGGGCGTTGGAATGGGCTTGACTTTATTAGGCCCATTTTGTATGGTTCTCGAGAAACTGCACTTATTTGTTAAAACTATAAAGGGGTTACATTTTATTAAAAAGTGTATTATTCCTGTGATGTTTTGATGCAGCTACTTAACTATTGATTGATTTATTAATAATTCTTCAAGGGCAACAAAAGATTTTCGTGTAGCATTTGATTTATTGATTTGAACTTCGAACAAAAATATATCAAAAGCCCTTTTAATATCATTGATCACCGGAGTACCTTAAAAATCAAAATGTCCGGGGTTTTTTTTTTTTTATTTTTTAAAAAACGTTTTATATTATTCTCTCTATTGAGATATTAAAGTGACAAACCAGAGAAGTCAATAGTTTTCAAATGTGAAAGGCAATAAAGATGTGTTTAATTAGCGTTAAGTGTTTACTAAGTAATGATCATATTTCTTATCAAATGTCTTGATAAAACTTAAGTAAGAAGATCAAATATGCTTATCAGCAATTTGGCAGGTTATTTAAAAAGTCGACCAATGAATTCAAAATCAGTGCCTTATCAAGTCCCAACTTCAGTGGTTGTCCATAATGTTCAGTTTCACGGCAATATTTTTGTGCGCTTTTTTGGCCCTGGATCTCCATGGATCCCTGACAGAAGCCCAGGATGGAAGGCGCTACGTATGCCTATTATCGGATGCGCCTAATCAATGCAGTGAATATTGCGTATCCGCACTGCAGCCTGTAATCAATCACATTACAAATGGTCAGACGGATTGGAGCACCTGCGAGGTGAAGATAAACAAAACCCAAGAGACCCTAGACAGGATAGAAGAACAGTTGGAAGAAACACAAATCCAAACTAAGAACCAGCTGACATCCCTTCAAACCAACTTGTCAAAGGGCTGTTCCCCAGGACCTTAATGAAAGACTTCATTGGATAGAAGGCAATCAGTTAGCCCTTGAAAGCCAACTAAAAGCCTCACAGAAGAAAACGGAGAGCCAGATATCTGAACTGGACCGGAAAATCGAGCTGATGAGATATCAAAAGATTGGATCGAGGTATTTCTACATCGAACACAATGTAAATGTGAACTGGAGAACTGCCGAGCAGATGTGCATTGATATGGGTGGCCATTTGGCAGCCTTCCAGAATGATGTGGAGTACAACACCATAGCTGGCCAACTCCGTAAGGCTAACTACTGGACGGGCATCAACGATATCGCCAAATCGGGCGAGTTCATATCCTTGGCCTCCGGTAAGCGGGCGCCTTATTTGAGGTGGCGGAAGAATGAACCCAAGTACAAAAGAGGTGTCGAGCAATGCGCCTATATTTATGGACATGAAAACATAATGATTGTTTTTTCCTGTATCACAGATGTGATGCATTTTATTTGCCAAGCAGATGATCAAGTTTAGATAGTCAAAGGTTTATGTCGAATATATTAATCAATCTAAAATGTTAAATAAATAAATATAAATGGAAATAAACACCCAAATATTTAGGTGTAAGACTTTAAAATTAAAACAAACAAATACTTTATGTTATCTGGCCATAAGGGAAGGTGTTATTCACCCCATTTCAGGGGAAAAAAGCGATACCAAAAGATATCTAATTTATTGCTGTACCCTAAACTTGATATTGATTAATATTTAACAAAAAGTTATATTTGGATATTGACTCATGGCTTATCGCGTTTATAATTTAGGGAAATGTGTTCTTAAACCGATTTTTCTATGGCAACCGTACTAGTATATAGTATATATAAGTTAACACACTCAGTTAACTCACTCCCAAATTGAAAAACTGCCGAGTTGAGGGCCACATCCGATGGCCAACACGCGGAATAGGGAAACCGCCGACTCCGCACTCTGAGGGCAATCACCCAGAGCCCGGCCTGTGCAGCGATTGATCGACAGCAATCGGATATCCAATGCTGATCCGGCACTTTGGCGACAGCGCTGCAACCAGACAAAGGCTTCTAGCTGCAGCCGGATTAGAGCATTAGGTTAAGTGACTGTTATTAAAGTCGATTTAGAAAGTTTTCCACTTACAGCTTTTAAGCTAGGTGGCTTTATAAGCTCGTGACAGAGACCAATAATAAACATATTATATAAACTTTATGGTTTCCAAAAAGTACTCCCCATTGCGGTTAGAAGATATTTTAGGAAAAGTTACCTATAAGGGCAGAATTCACGTTTATTATTAAAATGCAGCCTCCACATAAGATACATTCACATGCAAAGGAGAACGTTGGTATATTTGCCTGGCAATTTTCATATTATATTTTAATCAAAACATATTAGAATTCTCAAAAATATTTACTTTTTAAACATTTTACAAGGATACATTTTTGTACTTGCACAAAGTCAAAGGCTCAATGACACTTTATCTTACTTTTACTTCGTTAAACTTCATCGTCTGCCTGGCAGATGTAATACAAGGCTACTTGACTGCAAGAATTAACTATCATTTCTTTGACATTTCCATGGATTTCAACACAGTGGTTATCATCAAAGTTATACTTGCAATAATTGGGCTCGTCGGCAAGCCATTTTAAGTACGTGGCTGGCTTTCCGGAGGCCTTCGATATGAACTTCCCCTGCTGGGCGAGGTCGTTGATGCCCGTCCAGTAAAGTGTTCTAGGCGATAGTTGGTCAGCTATAACTTTGTATTCTTCCTGATTTTTGAAAGATGCCAAATGTCCGCCAATCTCATTACACATCAATTCTGCATTTTCCCAGGTAGCTCTATGATTGTGTTCGATGTAGAAGTACCGCGATCCAATCCGTTGATACCTTTGCAGCTGAATTTTCCTGTCGATTTGCGAGAGGTTTTCCTTTATGCTTGTGAGCTGGCATTCTAAATTCAGCTGAGCAGCTTTCAACTGGCTTTCGATGTCTCGCTGATTGCCTTCTATCCTGTCCAGTCTTTCACCCAGGTCCAGGGGTATAGTCTTTGTCAAATTGACCTGAAGGGAAGTCAGCTGGCCCTCCATTTCGATCTTAGTCGCCGTCAGCTGGCCTTCTATTCGGTCTAGTGTTTCCTGGTTTTCACTTAACTTCACATCGCAGGCATCCCAATCCTGAAGCCCATTTGAAGGGTTATTGATCCACGGCTGCATTGCGGATAAGCAATATTCACTGCATTGATTCGGAGGGTCTGTCAACAGGCATACGTAGCGCCTCCCATCCTGGGCTCCTGTCAGGGATCCCTGGAGATCCAATGCCAAAAAGGCCCACAAAAATATTACCGTGAACTTGTACATTCGAAATAAGACTTCGAAATGAGTTGAAAATTCTATTGGATGGCTATTATTTATTATCGGTAAACCTAATAGGCTCTTTGCTGATAAGCCCTTTGATGTTTCTTATATATATTTTATCCAAGAAGCTCGATATTACTTTCGGGGTTTATCTACCGGGGTCTTTAAGTCTAATCTATCTGCGGCGCAAACTTTTGACTGAGATTATAATTTCTTCTGCTTGGTTATCAAAATAAAGTTCTGGGGTGCAATACCCTAGCTAATCTGGCTACAATTCTAATAATAAATAACAATAATAAATAATAACAATAATATTTAAACTTAAAAGCATAAAACTCAGCTAAGACCTATCGATATTTTTAGCCTGGTAGCCTTAGCAACACGCCGTATTTAATCAATCGTCTGGCCTAAAAATTCTCCCATACAAAAACACAATAAATTCCCATAGATACGCCGAAGAATCTGGCAACAACCAACAGTTCATTCCGGAATCCAACTGGCCAAATCCATAAGGAAAGCATCCCAGAAGGATGATTGTCACCAGCAGCGGAACGTCCCATAAGAATCGAAAGATTAAGGAGCAATGCGGTTCCTGTCCAAATAGATTCTCAAAAGACAAACGCCAAGCGGCCGCCGAGGACTCGGATACCACGGAAGTGGAATCCTCCACGGATGAGGAAGACCGCTGGAAAGAGGTGGCAAGGGCCGCTGAAATTCCGGCGGACTACTATAACATCCAGAAACTGGTGAAGTACATCAAGGCGGGCAATCAGACAGCCACTATAGTATCGTTGTGCTGCTTGAAGGACTACGATCTGAGCACTCAGATCAATCAGTTCGCCATCTCGGACATCGGCGGACTGGATGTCCTCGTTAATATCCTGGAGTGCAGCGACACCAAGTGTTGTTTGGGCGCCCTCACAGTTCTCTCGGATATCACACTCAACATCGACATAAGGAAGACCATTGTGGATTTGGACGGGATTCCGTTAATTGTTGATATCCTAAACTCCTCCATGAAGGATCTGAAGACCATGGCCGCCGAGACATTGGCCAATGTGTGCAAGGTGCGTCTGGCCAGGAAGTATGTACGCACCTGTGGGGGAATCCCCAAGCTGGTGGATCTCATTGACATCAAGTTAAGGTGAGTTTGGATATTAGAAAATATGGGATAAGTTGGGCAGCTTAGTAAGATATATCTTTCAGCATTTTAAAGACCCCTCGTGACCAATTGACCCCAGATGAATTGGAATCGCTGGATATGACACGAGCTGGAGCCCGAGCCCTCTTCACCTTGGCCGATTCTAAGCACAATATGGAGCAGATGCGCAAAAGTGGAATCGTTCCATTGATGGCCCAGCTGCTCAAGTCCTGCCACATCGATGTGGTCATACCCATAATGGGCACCGTTCGCAAATGCTCCTCGGAGCCAAAATTCCAACTGGCCATCACCACCGAGGGCATGGTCCCAGACATTGTTAGCCATTTGAGTTCGGAAAACACGGAACTCAAGATGGAGGGCAGTACGGCGATCTCTAAGTGTGCCACCGATGTGAATACTAGGGAATTGGTGAGAGAGGCTGGTGGCTTGGAACCTCTGGTAACGATCATAAAGGACAAGAATGTGCGGGACAACAAGCCACTGCTGAGGGGAGCCACTGGCGCGATTTGGATGTGTGCCGTGACCGATGCGAATGTTAAGGTTTTGGATCAACTTAGGACGGTTAATCACCTGGTGGCCTTGCTGAATGATGAGTGTGACGAGGTCCTGACCAATGTCACCGGAGCCATATCCGAGTGTGTGAGATTCCAGAGCAACAGAGAGCAACTGCGACAGGCTGGTGGACTACCAGCCATGGTTTCCCTACTTAACAGTTCCCATGCCCCATTGCTGGAAAATCTGGCCAAGGGATTGAAGGAGTGTGCCGAAGACCCGGAGAGCATGCGAATCCTGGAGGATCTGGATGCCGTTCGTCTGGTCTGGTCTCTTTTGAAGAACACCAGCACCAGGGTCCAGGCCCATGCCGCTTATGCCATATGTCCTTGTGTTCGAAATGCCAACGACTCCGCTGAATTGGTCAGGAGTTTGGTTGGCGCCATGGAACTGGTGGTGGGTCTTCTCAAATCCAAGGACATTATGGTCCTGTCTGCCGTTTGTGCTGCCATAGCAACGATCGCCCAGGATCAGACTAATCTGGCCATCCTTACCGATCTCAGGGTGATCTACAAACTGGCCGATCTCGTCCAGACCACAGATGATCTCCTGCGAATGAACTTGGCAGCCGCCGTTGCCGCCTGTGCCTGCTTTGGCAATAACACGGAGGAACTGGGACGCCTGCGCACTGTGACCCCAATAGTCACCTACATGACCAGCGACAATCCTCTGGTGCATCGCAGCACAGCCATGGCGCTGGAAAAGCTATCGATGGATCCGCAGAACTGCATTACCATGCACCAGGTGGGCAATAGCTTTCATGGCTTTAAAAATTATATACTAACTCTAGTAAAATTTCAGAGTGGAGTGGTTCCTTTCCTGCTAGAGTGCATTGGATCTACTAACAAGGAGCTCCAGCTGGCCGCCGCTGGATGTCTGAGGAATATCCGAGAGCTGGCTCTGCGAGCCGAGGAATATCTGCTTAAAATCGACGATGACTAGCTTTTGGATTACAGTTTTTCGCTTTGTTGTGTTATGTAATTGCTATTTGAATGAATAATATAAATGCCAATGCTAGAAAATAATCTTAAATCAGGGGTGCTCAACGGCTATACTCTGGCTGCTCATTTGTTTTTTTAAATGCTCTTTGTATATGGGATTGCTCGCGCATTAACTTTGAGCGGTCCGTAGCTATTCCACTAACAATTTTTCGTCTTTCTCTTTTAGCCTCATTCCAACGCCAACTGCAATATATTTCTTTCCTTTTTCTTCCTCTATCATTTTCGAACTCCTTGCTATATCACTAACAGTTTGTTGTTTTTCTCTTTCCGCCTCATTTCGTCGCCAACTTCAATATATTTCTTTATTTTTTCTTCCTTGATCATCCTCGAACTCCTTGCTATTCCCGTAACTATTTTTTGTTTTCCTCTTTCCGCCTCATTTCGTCGGTAGCCGCAGTACAATTTGTTCTTGTTTCTTCCTCCGTTATCCTCGAACACTTACACTGAAAATCATTTCTTATAACTTCTGTTTGCACTTTGGAGTTTATTTCGCAGTATACCATCGACCCAAGTGTTAAAATAAGTGATGAATTGGTTAGCAAGAAGAAGTGTTTTTCTTTCTCTCAGTGCACAGCTGCAAACCAACACAAAATCGCCAATACATACATATGTACATATTTGCACGTTTTCTTATATTTGTGTCAGTAAATGCTCTGCTGTATGACGAATATGATGAGACGAATATGTTTTTAAATTAATAATTTAAGATAATTAGAAGAAGGAAACTCATTCGGTCTCATCCCCCCCCAAAGAAACACCAATCAGTTTCCATGACAATAACATCTA